ACTTCCTTCTCCGCAGGGTCGGCATCAGGCGTCCCCTCGCCTTCTTCCGGGGCGGACGACGCCACACTTGCCGTGTGCGCCTGAGCGGTTCCACCCTTCACCGCCCTCTTCTTCACTTTCCTCTTCTTGGGGACGGCAGAAGGCGCCTGTGATTGGGTTGCGGGCGCCTCCGCTTGAAGAGGCGCCTCTGGCCGAGCCGGCGCATCTTTCGGGGAAGATGCTGCAGCAGCCGCCTCCGCAGCCATTGCCGCCAGCCTGCTCTTCATGAGCTTGGCAATGCTCGAGTAGTCTGCCCCTGCATATGACAAAAGTAAGTTAGTACATAACGCAAACAAACGGATAAGGAAGCAGAACACCTAGACGCCTACACACCATTGTTATAATAAGCTTCAATAATGGGAGGACGATTCTCGGCGGGGCGTAAGTCAACAGGCTCCCCCTCGCAAATTAAGGAGGCGCCTGCTTGCTCAGACGCCGTCAAAACCACCGGCTTATTGAAGTCGTCAACATGGCCTAGCCCCCATTTCCTCATAAAGGCGCCCCCACTGGCAAAGAAGGAGTCTTGATATGCCTTCACGAAGAAGAACCCGTTGAACCAACTTCGGTTCAACTTAGGGCATTTCTGGACAAAGTGATGGGGGCAGCTTTTCTTCTTGCGCTTCTGGAGGGATAAGCAGTTGTCCAGAGCCACCATCTTGAAGAAGTATCGGAACAAGTTGAAGGTGGGCTCCACGTTGTGCTCTCGGCACCTCAACTTGAAGAGGATGACAACCGTGATGACCGAAGGGGATAGGCGCCCGAGAGGACAGGCGCATGTCGTCAAAATTCCCTCCATGATCGAGTCCAGGGGAAACTGAAGCCCGAAGCGAAAGTACTCCTGGTAGAGCCCGATCCACTTGGGGCCACAGACGCCCACCCGGGACAGAGGCGATGGAGGCGCATACCACCAGTCTCTGGGAAGCTGGAGACTAGTCACCAGTTCATGAACCTGGTCCAGGGTGATGGTCGACGTGTGGTTGGGCCCAGCCACCTCGAAAGACAAGTGCGACGTCTCGGTGGGCAAATGATCAGGTGGGAAGCACTTCTCCCACGTCGTGATCTTGTATGACCCGTCGGCGGGCAAGAAGCCAGGCGCCGACGAACTTGACGGCCCAGCTGACGAGGAAGCAGACGCCCGCTCTAAACCAACAAATGACCCAGACGCAACGCGGACAAGGGGTAAGTGACGCCCCTACCCTAAGTGGCTAGAGAAAAAGAACTCAACGAAATCGACGAAAGGAAAAGACTGCTTACCACGTTGAACTGGGCGCCTTGCTTCACCACCGTCGCCAGAGGCGCCTGCGCCCGAGGCGCCGGGTGCAGAAGTCTTGTCTTGTTGTGGAGACGACATTTTTTGGACGAGAATCAAGTGTTGGCCGAGAAAAACAAAGAGGAAAGAGGACAGAGGTCAGAGCGGGAGATTCTAGAGAGAAGTCAGAGCGAGATTCTAGAGAGATGACAAATAGAAGAAAGTGACAGCATCACAAAGGGGGGGGGGTATTTAAAGAGAAACGAAGGCTCACCCACCGCATGACACGTGTCAGTCATGCCGAAGGAAACCCTTCAGCTCTCCCACCTTTTGGTCTTTTCGCGCGTCACCAAAACACAGGCGGACCTTTGAGCTTCCCCCACACTCTCCTTTTCGGGGAAATTTCTCAACTCCCAAATTTTGAATTTCGAATTTCGAATTTCAAAATTTTCTTTTATCCAAATTTCCCCCACAAGCACAGTGTGGGTGAGGGGGGGCACAAGGGATAAGGACACTCGTCAAGAATGACGCCATGAAGCGCCCGAAAAGGAGGGCTAATCAAAAAGGCGCCCCGATTGGGTAAAGGCGCCTTTGCAGGCAAGAGTCACAGAAGCACCTAGAGGAATATTCGATAAGGGACGCAGACAAAGGCGGGACGCCTGATCGCGGAGGAAGAAAGGCAAACGCACCTTGTAGGACCAAGAAACAAATGAGAGCACGATGCAGGCGCCGAGTGACAGGCGCCCTGCAACTAAGCAGAAGGCTGTGCTACGACTAGAGATTCAGTCAGGCGCTCGTTGGCGAAGCCACGAGCACCTAACTGGGGGGGCAATTGTTGGGGGTATTACCCAGCGAGCTAGGGGACAAAGCCCAAAAGAATAAAGTACCAAGAGCCAGGTGGCGGCCAACCGGCTGGTGGACCACGGCCAGGGGCGCCTGTCAGGTGTCAGGAGCCTGACAGGGCGGTTAGCTGTCACATAGAGCATCAAAAGCCAGGTGGCAATCAACTGGATGGTGGACCACGGCCTGCGGGCGCCTGTCGTGTGTCAGGAGCCTGGCAGGGCTGTGGAAGGCCAGACAGGTGTCAGGAATCTGTCAGGGCGGTTAGCTGTCTAGGGGCGCAGAGCATTGAATGAGGGAAGTGACGTGGCGGAGATCAACCTCGGGTTCGGTGAGTATAAATAGGGGCAGACAATAGCATTTACGCAGGTTGGCTTCTCTCACTAAACCACTCCCAAATACTTATCTCTCTAGATAGAGGCACTGACTTGAGCTTCGGAGTGCTAACGGGCCGACCAAGGCCCTTAGGCGCTTGTGGGTGTAGGTTCCAGGCACCAGGGCAGCGGAAGAGTGGAAAGGTGAAGGATTAGTGCTCGGGGGTATCGAGGCACGAACAGTTCTCTCATTTAAATAAAATGAATATTGTTGTGAGCAGCTTCAGCTTATTGAAGTGATTTTCCCAACAAAATAAAGGAATGATTAGGATGTCCGGTGCCCTTGAATCAAGTCAGTTTGATTCCTCAAATCGGGATGTTATGGAGATGCATTTGGTGCTTCCGTCTCCCTCTACTTCCACGATTTTTTTTGCAAGTTTCACGTTGTAGGTCATCTTTAACATTGTTCGCATAACACGAAGGACCGGAGAAGGGAAAGGAATTTCTTCATATTATCTTCATGTCTCTATCTTGACCCGTGCCTCAGCAATTTCTCTGCATCCTTAGTGTCGGATATTTTATCTCCATTTTCACATTCATTGTACCCCCTAATTAATTGACATTACTATTGTTGTTTGGTTTTGGCATTCATTCCATCTACTCTAGCCTTACAAGTCCCCCTTAGCATATTCTTACAGTGAACCGCAGTCACTCAAAGAAGTGGAGAAAGCAGCGAATGTGAGATAAAGAAATGCAAAGGTTGTATATTGAATTCCTTACGTTGTTCAGCCTGACACATTGAATGGTGTTTAAACTAGTTGAAGTTCACTGGAATATCTTATTTTATTTCTTTTGGTTTCTCATTTACATGTTGTACGCTTCTCGGGCCTCGGCACCTTTATAATAATTTCCTTACACAATCTAATTGGTGTGGTTATATACAGGTGAATGATTCCCCGAGATGAGAAATCATTGACGATGCCAGCGCAATGAAGGAAGCTATCATACTCATAGAAATTAGGAGCTTCAATGGGGAGGGATGCTGGGGGCCTGTTCGCCAACAAGGGCTGTCCGGCAATTTGCCTGGTTTTAAAGGCATTGATTTTGTCTGTTCCAGTTCTGCAATCTCCCAACTGTTTAATTTAATTTGTACAGGCTGCCAACCAGTACATTGGTACCTGCTAGCTCAATTAACCCTGTTGCTCATCGAACAATCTCTTTTGTTATCAGCTAGAATTCATAGTTTCAGTGTGCTTTTGTGTAAATTAGATTGTGGAGGTTAGGTTGCTTATTTCATCGTTCTGCTTTTAATCTGCTCCAGGTACATTAGCTTGCAAGTTCAATCTGCCTGCTTCGGGCAAAAGGAACCTAGTATACAATGGCAACTTCTTTTTTTTTTCTTTCTAACTTCTCCTTTTAGTCGAGCAAGCAATCCACAAATGAAGCACGAATGAGATAAAGTTTCTGTTTTTTTTTTAGTTTGTTTCAGGGCGTTAAGCGGAGCAACAAGTATAGCTGGAGCGCGACTTGCATCATTTGTAACTCACAAATAATCGAATGGTGATTGTCCTTCAAGTTTGGAACCAATGATTACTAGGAGACTAAGATTGTCTCCTGTATTTTACTTTGCTATTTTTTTTTTTAAAGAACAAGTGTTTCATCAGACTAATTTGATTGAAAGAGAGTTTCAGAATAATTTGATTGAGAGAGAGATCTCAGAGGATATATTCTATTCTATTCTTCTATTTTTCTTAATCTGTTTGTTTATCAAAATTGGAACTGCAGAGATGAGAATGGCAACATAGAAGAATATGTATGGGAGGGCATATATGTGTATATATATCATTCTTGTAATAATAATTGAGATTCCAACTCCAAGATGTAAATAATTTGTAATATCAAAGAAGCAACAAAAATGAACCAAGTATTCCCCACAGGCCATAGTGTAGTGTGTGAGTTTTTAACATATTCCACAGGCAGCTTTGTCAGTTTGTCCTTATTGTGAGAAGAGGATAAACCAAGTGGAAAGTCCATTGGATTGGATTGGATTGGAGGCAGCACTTCACATAGGGGAAAAGGAAAGTAGAAAACAAAAAGAAAATTTTGTAAGCATTCGCCTTTGCTATGTTCAAAGTTGAAACCTACCCACCCACCCCCCACTAAGCAACAAGAGAAGGTGTTGTTTTGCTTTGGTATGGCATGTTTGGATTGACGCATGTTTGGCCAGCTCTTATTCCCATCCTCTTGGCTACCTGCCAAAATCAGCTCAACTTTTTCTTGGGGAAGAGGTGGAAAAATGGGAGAGAAACAGACAAAACAAAACCCCTTTCTTTCTTTCTCTTTTTCCCCCCACTGCCCTCTTTCTCCTCCCACTCCCTCCTCTCTTTTGAATGCTTATTTGGAGAGTGTGAGCGGAAATCTAGGGCTTCTATGGACTTCAAGAAATTCCATATTCCTCTCGACCCTATACAAGACAAACATAAGCCAGATGGTGACAAGAACAACCTCTTGTGTTATGGCCAAAGCAGCCATGGAGGAAAGAGAAAAAAGGGAATAGAATGGGTCTCCTCAAGATGTAACCTTTTTTTAGACCATCACTGCCCATTCTGTAGCAAAACCCAATAAAACCCAAAGCCATCTCACTCCCCTGCCTCTTCCTCCCCCTCTCCTCTGTCAGACATACATGCCTGACCTAGCTCATCGAGATTGAAGCTTTTCCGGCGGAGCTTTGTCTGGGTTTTTGACGAAATCTAAAACCCAGTTGGGATTTAACTGAAGCCAGTGCCGATTTGAAGCTGCCTGCCACTGGCAGGAGAGAACCAGTGAACTTCCTGGTAATTCTCTCTTTCACAACTTCAAGTATCTCAATTCTTCCATACCGTCTTCGCTTGATTTGGAGTTCTTGCCGATGAATAATGTTTTGTTTATGTTAGCTTCATCGTTTTCTCTCCTCTGCAATCCACTGTAAGTGGTCTTCGAACAAGTTTTGTGTTCACTGAAAACCTAGGGAGACGCTTGTAAACTTTGGTATTTGCCTTGGACATGTGTTGATCGAAAGAAAAGCATCACCAGCTATAATCTCTCGAGGGGTGTAAGTAACTTTGGATCATGACATGTTAGAAAACGCTGGAGATGTACTTTTCTGCTTAAAAGAAAGATAAAACGCTGATGAGAAAATGCTGCCTGATTAGCATTTGGTGTCTATTGGCACGGGTCTGCCCAAGTGTTTGTTTTTACCGTTTATGTCTTGTGTTGCGATGACTACAAAGTGAGCAATCAGCAACTAAGTAATTTTCCTCTCTAATCAAATCGCCATAAGGGCTATGAATCTCCGCATCAAATTGTTCTTGTCAATGACTGCTAAGAATGCATCATCGAAAGTGACAACAAACACTAGTTGGATTGATCTCCCGCCTTGGAATTATTGATTTCTTCTGCCAATCTCTTGCATTTGTTTTTATCTTTATTAGCCGTACTTTGTTCTCATATTTGGACGGATTGCTGATTATACCAATGCCTCGAATCAGGGCGGTTTCAGGGTGTTGAGTTTGGCTCTCAATATCAATTGTTGATGGCAGGAAACGTTCAAGAAGACAGATCCTCTGTCACTTCATCTCCCCTTCCGTTATTTCCCTGGATGTCACTATCTCCAGGACTTGGATCCCCATTCCCATGGTTGAGGGATCTACAACCGGAAGAGAGGGGGTTGTGTCTCATTCAGCTCCTTCATGCTTGTGCAAACCATGTGGCTGCAGGGAGTGTCGAGAATGCAAATGTCGGCCTTGGCCATATCTCCCACCTTGCCTCTCCTGATGGTGATACTATGCAAAGGATTGCTGCTTACTTCACCGAGGCGCTTGCTGACCGGATGCTCAAAGTCTGGCCTGGTTTGTACAAGGCTCTCAATTCCACGAAAACCCGTTCACCCTCTGAAGAAATTATTGTCCAGAAGCTCTTCTTCGAGCTTTGCCCCTTTTTGAAGCTCTCATATGTCATAACAAACCAGGCTATTGTGGAGGCAATGGAAGGTGAGAAAATGATACATATTATAGATTTGCACTCATTTGAGCCTGCTCAGTGGATTGAGCTACTCCGGACATTAAGCGCACGGCCTGAAGGTCCACCTCATTTGAGAATCACAGGTATTCATGAGCAGAAAGAGGTGTTGGACCAGATGGGAGCTCGATTAGTCGAAGAAGCTGAAAAGCTAGACATCCCATTTCAGTTCAACTCCATAGTGAGCAAGCTTGAGAATCTCGATCTTGAACGTTTGCGTGTGAAGACGGGAGAAGCTCTTGCAGTCAGTTCTGTTCTTCAGTTGCATTCTCTCTTGGCAACTGATGAGGCTGAGGTGGTTGGAAGAGTTTCTCCTTCAGCACCGGCTTCTAAGAGTGCTAGTCATAATAACCACATTCAAAAGTTCATGCAAATGAACCAACACCAGAAGACTTTAGGGGAGTGGCTTGAGAAAGATGTGGTTCATTATCATTGTTCGAGTCCCGATTCAGCACTATCCCCACTATCACTTGCTCCATCACCAAACATGGGAACCTTCTTGGGTGCATTTTGGGCTCTTTCACCCAAGATCATGGTGGTGACCGAGCAGGAGTCCGACCATAATGGCTATTCATTAACAGAAAGGGTGTCTGAAGCTATGAACTTCTATGCTGCTCTCTTTGATTGTTTGGAGTCATCTACTGATCCCAGAGCTTCATTAGAAAGACAAAAGGTCGAGAAGATGTTATTCGGTAAGGAAATCAAGAACATAATTGCTTGTGAAGGGAACGAGCGAAGGGAAAGACACGAGAAGTTGGAGAAATGGATCCTGCGGCTTGAGTTAGCCGGGTTTGGGAGAGTTCCTCTGAGTTATGATGGAATGTGGCAAGCAAACAGATTACTGCAGAGTTATAATTATGGAGGGTATAAGATCAAAGACAAGAAAGGATGCTTGCTCATTTGCTGGCACGACAGACCTCTGTACTCCATCTCGGCTTGGAGACATAGGAGGCAATAGTAAAAAGAGCCAACTTCGACACCTTCAATAAGTTTTTCTTTCTTAGATTTCCATTCTCTTTTTGGATTTCTGTAGCTTTTGATTTTAATGTTTCTCTGTACAAACGATGGTTTTCTCCATCTTGCCATCTGCATAGTGTTACTCCTGTATGATCTGAGTGGGTTCCTTCATCTAACCTCTTCGTCCATTTTTGGTGTGTTCCTTGTTTTGTCCATCTATCATTTTCTTTCTTGAGGTTTTTGCTCCCCTCCATCTGCATGTATCAATCCAACAGAAATGAAAAAAAGTTGAGGCTTTGGTTTCACCATTCTGATGGTATGTCTTGGCTGTACCAATAATCATATGTTTTCTATTAAAACAAAGCACGGAAAGGGCACAAGTCTTCTTGGAACTGCCACAAGTTTACAAAAGGAGGATTCAGAAATATACAACAGAGACATTGTATTCAACGGCAGCTGATGTTCCCTTGGATGTCACTCTCTTTGCCAGTGCATTCCCTCGACCACATCGGAAATCACTGGCATTTCCCTCACATCTTCAGCTATCCTAGAGGCTAGAACGACGCTCAAGGCATTGCCATTGTAGATGATGTCTTCAAGAAAGCTGAAATTCAGAAGCATGAGGAATGCTACATCCTGTTGAGAAGCCAGAGCATACATCCCTTGTGCTCTTCCGATGAGCTACGATCTAGCTCTTCTGATAACGGGAAGAGACTTCGTGAAGATATCACCTAACTATTGGAAGAAGAAACGTACATTACATTTACTGTTCTTGCTGAGATTTTGTCACGAATTATATGGCGATCGACTTCAATAAATTTATTACGTTCGTGATTTGCGATCAACTTCAATAAATTTCTTACGTTCGTTATTTACAAGATTAGCAGCTAATTTTGTAGCACAAATGCTATCACAGAAAATGGCGGTAGGGGTTAATAATTTTTTTTTACTGAAGGTAGCCGTTAATAATTGAAATCATAAGTCATGTAATTCATGGAGATCATTGTGAAATTCTCTAATTTTGTTATTTTTCTTTGTGAGCTGGTCTTTTAGTTTCACTATTTCATGCACTCATTCATCGATTAAAAAATTGTTATTTCTTCTGTAGTCTGTTTGGATAAACTATTCTGATGGATATATTTATTTTAGGATTGTGGTTTTCTATTTTCTTCATATTAAAGTCAAAGTTGTTGAGAGAAGTTCAATTATTCATATCTTATACAATTTACTAACAATATCAATAACTATGAAGTTTGGGTTATTAATGGTTGAACCGCTTAATGAGTAATAACTTGAAAACGGTAGCTTTTATATATCAACAACTTAAAAATGTGAATTTTATTTATCTTTTATATATATATATATAACCATATGTATGTGTTTTTTTTTTACATGGCTTCACATTTCTATTATTTATTAACTTTTCAATACAAAGGTAGGGGGTGAGTAGTGGGTGCTGTTAAGCGGATTTGAGTGAGTATGGATCCACCTACTATGTGGTAAATGAAGAAGCGAGTAGCGACAGACCCACACCACTCAAACATGTCATATGGCTGGATCAATTGGGTGATTTCGAATGGGTGATTGGGTGGGTTCGGTCGATATATAACATATGTTCCAAAAGACCACATATGAACATTATTTCAAACTTAAAATAAAAGAAATTTTCATGCTAAGTAACATTTACTACATATGTTAGATGTATTGTTTAGTTCCCAAAACTACTACTCATAATTTTTCACAAATCACCAAAAACATTTAAACTAATAAACCTACTATTATCTGCTTCTCTCTAATCTTTGAAGCGACAGTCATTCATTGTTTGTCCTTTGACAAGAACATAAAATTTATATGGTAAATACCTTATTCTGGTCCGAACTATACTCAAATAGTCTCTTTTGGCCCGTGATTTTAAAAATGGTTATACTGGCCCCAACTATACACTATGTAGACTAGTTTGGCCGGACGCGTATTATGACCGTCAATTTGAACGGTCAACAATGTTGACTAACAATTAACCGTTTATGTCAGCATCTCATCCGTCTAAAAACCATTTAAAAAGTTGGAATTCAAATTTAACCGAAAAAATAATAACTATGAGAAAAAATAAAGGGAGATTCTTTAATATATACTAATTACCACTACAAGGAATAAGGTATTTGGTGTCGGTTCACTTAACCGACACTAAATTTAAATTTTGTGTCAATTTATTGCGTCGGTTAGGAAATCCGACTAGTCATTTGTGTCAGTTGTTTTTAACCAACTCAAAAGTATAATTTTGAGTCGATGAAAACGACACAAACTTTTTTTTTTGAAAATTAATTTTGTATTGGTTAATTTTTGCGTAAGCTATAACCGACACAAATTTGGCTTTGGAACTTTCTACAGGGATGGGATAGCATGACAGGGGTTGTCAATCTCGTTTCCCCCTTCATAGCCGGCCTTCCTCTTTCTTCATCCAACGGCCAAAAGCATACGAAGAGTGTTTTAGTAAGTAGTTAAATGAAATAATATTGAATTAATAGTTAAATGCATGGAGAAAATCTGGGAGCGTGATTGGTGGAGCTGAACAACCATTTTCGAGTGTGATTCTTTCCCTTACATTTTTGGCTCGTCTCTCATCAAACCAGACAATAATAGCCCTGGAAAATACAATCCACGCGGCCGCTGCCATACAATAGACGACTACTGATAGCATCGTATTTGCACGTGTTTTCACCCTGGTTTCCTGTCCATTTTGGCTCGAATTGATTGTTCCTTGGCCTATTTTACGCTAGGTTGTGTTCCTTTGTCACATTTCAGGTCCTAGCACATAAAGTGAAGCATAGGCGCAAGTTTCAAGTCAATCAGAGATCAATTGACGATTCGGGAGAAGAAACTCGGGTATGACCTGAAGAAGAATGGATTTCTACCTCACTTTATGGACAAAGAATCATGCAAGCTTGTCATGAAAAGAAAGAGGACGAGACTACGAGCGTCTGGGTTCAAACGGCGACTGATTTGGAGTCCGGACGAGGGAGAAACGAAGCTTTGAACAGTAGCGGAGACAGAATTACGGGCAGCCCCTGCCAAATTACGGCCGTAATTGGCCAGGGCATGCCCGTAATTTATTGGCCGAGCCTTCTACCCAGAATTCCCTCGCGGTGATAAAATTACGGGCAAGATCCCAAGAATTACGGCCGTAATTCCCAAATTACTGGCGGTAATTGGGAAATTACGGGCGTATCTCCACCTCCTGCAGCTTTAGTGAAACGTGCGTTTTGGTGCGAATTACGGGCAGGACGTGATTACGGCCGTAATTCTGCCCGTAATTCGCCCAGAGTCGGGTTTTTGGAGGCAGATTCGAGCCAAGGAAAGGGAATTCGATTTTCTGGGCAAAAACAGAGTTTTAGAGAGAGAAAGAGGGAAGAACAAACCCTAGGAGCTATTTTGGAGTGGATTTCTCATCATTGAAGCCCAGATTGCGTCCCTAGGAGTGAAGATTGACATCCCAGAGCAGATTTTCCTCATCTTTATGAGTATGACTACTCTGATTTCTGTTTTCTCTTCTCTCTCTATGGAGTAGAACCCTTCTCTCACTTGGGTATGAAGAACCCTAGTTCCTTGTGTTAGGGATTTGATTGTAATGACTTGGGATGATATTACTGTTTGATTTTAATCGAATGACGCATGTTTATTGAATTGATTTGAGTCTGATCAGCTTTTCTCAATTTCTGCTGCAACCTGAGATAGATAGAATCTGATTAGGTTGTTAGAGCCTCTTCATTCGATAGTAGGAGATTGGCTATACGAGAGTGAGCCAGTTTACTGCTTTGTACTGGTGTTCTTGGCGCCAGTAGTGGAGTTCTGTGTTCATAGCCTCAGCTTTCTATCCCGGTGAAGACTAGTCGTCTGCCGGGTAGTTAGACTGAGAGGGCTTGGTCAGCTTAAGAGATTCCAAGCTACTGTCGGATCTTCCGCAGTCTAATCAACAGTAAATCAACCCAGGGAATTGCAATTGAACCTAACTAAGGGGCTAGGGGGACTCAATCCCGAGTGACTCTTACCTGCTTTTGAAAACCGAACCATTTACTGCTTTCTTACTGCTTTTGCTTTAAACAACAATCACTCGAATTAGTTTGCTAGATAATAGAGAATCACGGAGTAAGCAGTAGATCTAGACCCCGGGTTGATAATTAAACTTGCCTGTTACTGCATTCCCGGACTGCGATTACACTTGGTCGCAGTTTGGTGTTGTGTTTTGGCGTGTTAACTACATTAGCAACGACGACGACAGGTGGGAGCTGAAGCAACGATTTTATTTGGGTTCGACTTGAACGTCCTATTAACAAGCAACGGCGAGGATATATATGACGCCGGAGTTTAGCAGACGGACCCGACGGAGAATGGTGATGAAGCATGCATGGTGGATGTTGACGACGTTTTGGACGTGGAGGAGCTGGTGTACGAAGATCATCCAGAATAGTATGAAAACACGGACCACGTCCAATATGGCCTCGACTTGGAGAAGAACGACCAGTTCGTGCTGCACTCAAGCGATCGCGTTGATGCCGACGACAGCAGGGCAGAGAATGGCATTGACGCCAATAATGATGGTAGGGTTAACCCCTAAGCCATTACGACTTCTGTTGCATTTGTAGTGTTTTACTATATGTACAACTAATGTTTTGACAAAAATGTACCAGTAGTTATAGTGCAAGTTAGGTAGTGGTAGTATTATTGTAGGGATAGGCACCAAGTGGTAGTCAACTAGTTGTATTCATATAGTGTGTAGACATGTAGTTATCTAGTGGTAGTCCTCTAGTCGTAGTTAATTAGTGGTACTTTCCTAGTGGTAGTAAGATACGTGTAAGATGGTAAATAGTGCAACTTTCTAATAACACTGAAGTTGTACCAGTACTAGTCATTTACATTGGTACTGGTACCATTGCAGTGGAGACATTACCATTAACATTGTACCAATAAAACTCAATTGGTACCAGTCTATTAATGGTACAAGTACAACCATTAATTAGGTACTGGTCTTAGTAATGATATCGGTACCACTGATTTGGTACAAGTCTTCAGAAATGGTTACCAGTACAATTTGGTACCATTCTTACTAATGGAACGAGTACCACTGATTATGTGTCAGTCTTAGTAATGGTTACACGTAGAATTAATTGGTACCAGTCTTATTAATGGTACCAGTACCACTTATATGGTACCAGACTTTGTAATGGTTACCAGTAGCATGATTTTGGTATCAGTACTACTGATTTGGTACCAGTACAATTGATTTGGTACCAGTAAAGGGATATTTCTACATACACTAGAGAAGGTACTGAATTTTCACAAGCAAACACCAAACCAATTGTACCAATGTAAGCAACAATACTTTGTCCAAGATCAAACTAAAGACAACAAATACCCAAAAACTTGTTCATACTCGGAAACATACATGAAGCAATTATCATACTCTTCAAATCCAACACACAACCTAGCCCAAGCTTCTTGATAAGCGTCTTCCTCTCATCCGAAATACTGGCCTCCACAATCTCAATGATTGAATTCGGACTGCACTTCTTCCTGAATGTGCTTTGACTTGATGCCACTGTCCGTTGCTTCTTCTTCTTGCTGGGACACTTTGTTACCTCGTCACATGGCCGTTTTTTACTCGG